ACTAAAGGCCCATTTGCAGAGGCAACAGTCTCAGCACTGTCATTAGGGGGCTCATGTGAGACTGGGATGTTGCTATTTCCTTGTCCTAGTAGACCTTGCTACTCTTGTACCTCCTCCATGGGTTCCATAATCTCATTGAGGTTCATAAATTCTCCTTCATGAAATTCCTGGTCCAGAATCTGATTCTCTGCAGGCAAAGCCCAATGTCCCCACCCAGGTAGTTCTGCTTCCTCTTCTGCATCCTCCTCCAGTGGAGCATTATTATTGAATGCAATCTGTAGATTCAGATCATGCTGAGGTTGCTGATCAATGTTCACTTGTTCATGATGTTGCAGAGGGCCCCAAAAATGATTATGCTGATTCGGATGGAAGTGAGCTTGTACTGGGACTGGGTGTGGGTTGCCAAATGGAGGAATTGGATTTTCATCAGGTGCTTCTCTACCCAGCATGGAATCTTGCAATATAACTACTGGTACAGAGAGAGTGGCTGAGTCATCACCTTCCCCAATTACTAAACTGGCAGGAATATCTCTCAGTTCTTCTACTTTGACCTTCACCATTTTGTTAACTCGGGTACTTTTATTCCTATCCCACATCACAAATTTTCCAAACTTGTTGACAACATTGCTAATATCATGAATACTCTTTCTATCAAAAGGAAAACCACATAGAAAGATCCAGACTTCTCTGCTGAGTTCTAACCTTCTCCAATTTATACCTTGATTGTGCCTCTCAAAACACACATGAACATCTGTGAACTGATGAGGGCTATTCCTAACCAGTTCATCTATGTCAAATACACTGTCTAGTCTGACAAAAGATTGACCGAAAGGGCACGGAGAGATCTCTGATAAGCCAAGTTGTTTGACATCGGAGAGGAAATCAGATAATACCTCGCGAATGGTGTTGAATTGGACAGGCAGATTGGGCATGGGAACAATCGTAGCGACTGCCCATTCTTCATGCAGCGCTGGAACAACACCAGGAAGAACGCGGACCCCCGCCGGCCAGCCCACCACATCAAGACACTGGTGACCGTGAGGGATGAACGGCGTGGGGTTGAAAGGGAAGGTCGCCATTGCCAAGTCGCCAACGCTCAGAGGAAGATGGAGGGAGAGGTTGGTGGATGGGGATTGAGCATTGTTTTGGGAGACTCCGGCAAGTAGTCTCTAAGCAATGGAAGTGGAGGAGCCGGCGTAATGGCGGATACCAACTATAGGAGGCAAAATCGAGGAGCCATCGCTATTTCCCTGAAAAGCTTGACGGATGACCGGCTGATTAGTCGTAATCGCAGGAACAGTGGGATTCTGTCGATGGATAGGTGGGCTCTGGGTTTGGGTTTGAGCAGCTACAACAACAGAACTAGACCCAGCAGAATAGCAGTCCCGCGTGATGTGACCCCACTTCTTACAGGTGCGGCATTTGATACAATTCTTGCAGCTGGGCCTAAGATGGCCCGATAGGAGGCAACAGACATAGAAAAGCTCATGGGCCTCATTTTGAATGCGTGAAGATCCCGCGTTGACCCCATTAACTGCTGCATTACCTAAGCAACGATCGCGGTCCGTAGATTGGGTATGATTGTGATCAACTTGATCAAGCCTGGGGCTACCTTGGCTATGAACAGGATTACGATATGTGGAAGGAGATTTAAGATCTTGGAGGTAAGATTTCGTTGGATGGTCGCGAAAGACATGCATCCACTTGTCCTCCTTTTCTTGGAGATATTGATCAAGTTCCCAAGAAGAGTTTGGTCCTCCCGAACCCCAGAGAAGGAAATTGATGTTGAGCTTAGGGAGTGATATATTACCTCCTTTGATGATCGAGAAGCCCACTTCTTTATAAGAGACGGAAAATCTGAAGGACCAATTTTGGAGTAGCTGGACTTTGAACAAGGAGGCCCGACCACCAAAACGCGCCAGGAGTATGGTGGCCACGGACTCCACCGAGAGTCGAATCTTGGAGCGGGTGAATTCCGCCACCAGGATGAATTCCTAAAGATCTTTACCTTCCTCGAAGTTGATGGGCACACCCCCACTTTCTCCATACCTCTTGTGCAAAATCTTGGCCTTTGTCGAAGTTCAGATCAGCTAATGCCATCATGTTCCGGTGGGTAGTGTCCGCCGTGCCCGGAGTGGCACACGGCGCCGATTAGGAGAGATTGGCCACGGCCGGTTGGCCGGCGGCCCTAGGCGGAGGGGCTTGCGGGTGATCTCATCGCACGATCGTTCAATGCAGCCATACGTGTTTATGGTCTGCGAGCAGCTTTGATACGCACTAAGAAAAGCGTTTACATATAAGAACTCTTCGTTTCCTCATCACCGAACAAGCCCTACATGTTGTAGACGATATTATCAAACAGTGAAGGGGAACAAAGAACTAAAGTATGTACATGGGCTTTATTAATTTAAAGCCAGACGCCTCTAGTGTCTTCGTTCTAAAATAAAGAGCTTATGACACTGGACGCTAGAAGATTGGGCTGGTGGGGTGGATGAAGAGATTTGAAAAGGTTACACTTGAGGTTAGCCAAACATTGTGCCAGAAGCAAGTGTTATTGCCCAATTGCCCGTGAACACAAATGTTGTTTGCCACGAAGAGCTTTTAGGTTCCCCTCTCTTCAATCTCCATTAAAATTACCCAGTGCATGTAAAACGTATATGCAACAGAAGTGCATTGTGCCATCATGCACACTTATACAAAGCCATGAAAGGAAGCAAGGACTAGGGTGGTAGGAAGAAACTGCCCACATGTGGACTGAAATTGATTCTCCTTCAATACTAGTACTCCCCCTGTAAACTAATATTTTTTATTAGATCATTAAAGTAGTGATCTAAAATGTGTTATATGAGTTTGAGCTTTGAGGGAGTACCCTAACAATGAATCAATGTTGTGGCAATAATAACCGTTGCTATTGCCATAATGAACCAATAGCACACTGGCAATGAACCGCTACTACATTAGTTCCCAAAATTTGAGATAGATGGATAGACGGGTTTATTGGTCCCCATTGTAATTTATGCCAAATTTTGACCATAAATTTAACTAACAAAATGTTTATGCATGTCACAAAAGATTATATCATTGAAAAATATGTTCAAATACGAATCTAGCGATATAATTTTTATTGACATGCACTAATATTTCGTCAGTTAAATCTTTGATCAAAATTTAGCACAAATTACAAAGGGGACTAATAAACCAGGACGGAGGTAGTACTACATTAGTTCCCAAAATTTGAGATATCTGGATAGACGGGTGCACCCAACCTTGGCCATGACTTCCTCACCTTTTAGAGACTTTAATATGAACAACATACAGATGTATATAGACGTAGTTTAGAGTGTAGATTCACTCATTTTGCTCCGTATATAGTTCATATTGTAATCTTTAAAAAGATTTATATTTTTAGAAACGGAGGGAGTATAATTGAATTCAGACTACCTTACAAGTGTATGCACTGAAACTGTACTTGGAAAAAATAAAGTGTCTGCAATAATACAGATATCATTTCCAGAAGAGCATTGATTCCGCATATCAAAAAGATAAGATATACAAAGGGATACACACGATCCATGCGTTGAGTTTCTCTATATAGGACCTCACCTCACCTCGCCTCACGTCACCTCACCATAGACCTCAACCCTTCAGAACCCAACCTGCAAACCACACGGCAACGCCCTGCCATGGCCATCACCATCACCCACAACAACGGTGCCGCTGCACCCACCCATGCCGCGAACGGAGCGGGCAACCAGGCCGGCCGCGACCACGTAGTCGTGTTCCCGTTCATGGCGAAGGGCCACACCCTCCCACTGCTCCACTTCACCACGGCGCTCGCCGTGCACCAAAAGAACCTCCGCATCACCATGGTCGTCACGCCCGCCAACCTCGCCTTCGCCCGCAGCCGCCTCCCGGCGACGGTGCGCCTCGCGGTGCTCCCGTTCCCCTCGCTGCCGCCGCTGCCATCCGGCATCGAGTCCACGGACACCCTGCCCGGCCCGGACCTCTACCCGACGTTCCTGCGCGCCACGGCGCTCCTGCGGGCGCCATTCGCGGAGTTCATGGCGTCGCTCCCGGCCCCGCCGCTCGTGCTCGTCTCCGACTCCTTCCTCGGGTTCACGCACCGCGTCGCGGCCGACGCAGGCGTCCGCCGCATCGTGTTCCAAGGCATGTCCTGCTTCTCGATGGCCACCTGCAGATCGCTCATCACGAGCCCGCCGCCGTCTGTCGCTGAGCACGGCGCAAGCTTCCACGTCTCCCATATGCCGGAACACGTGAGGATCACGGCAGCTGATGTCCCGGACACGATCACCAAGCTCCGCGACGCCGAGGACCCAGTGACTCGGTTCCTTATCGATGACATCGGCGAGTCCGACGCGCGCAGCTGGGGCGTCCTGGTCAACAGCTTCGCCATGCTGGAAGAGGACTACGTATCGGCCTTCATGTCGTTCTACCAGCCGGGCGCGCGCGCCTGGCTGGTGGGCCCTCTGTTTCTCGCCGCCGGCGACGTGCCGGAGCGCGAGGAGGAGCAGGACCCGGAGGGGTGCCTCGCCTGGCTCGACGAGATGGCGGAGCGGTCGGAGTCGGTGGTCTACGTGTCGTTCGGCACGCAGGCCCATGTCTCCGACGAGCAGCTCGACGAGCTGGCGCTCGGGCTGGTGCAGTCCGGCCACCCATTCCTCTGGGCCGTCCGGTCCGGCACGTGGTCGCCGCCGGTGGACGTGGGGCCGCACGGAAGGATCGTCCGCGGGTGGATCCCACAGAGGAGCGTGCTAGCTCACCCCGCGGTGGGAGGGTTCGTGAGCCACTGCGGGTGGAACTCGGTGATGGAGAGCCTGGCAGCGGGGAAGCCCGTCCTGGCGTGGCCACAGATGGCGGAGCAGCACCTGAACGCGCACCACGTCACGCACATCATCGGCGCCGGGGTAAGGATAATGGCCGCCGGGGGCGCGGGGGCCGTGGTGGGTAGGGCGGAGGTGGAGCACAAGATCAGGAGGCTGATGGACGCCGGCGACTCGGACGGGCAGAAAATGCGAGCGAAGGCGGTCTGGGCTCAGAAGGCGGCGAAGTCAGCGGTGAGCGACGGTGGCACCTCACCTGTCGCCTTGCTGAAGCTGGTGGAAGAGCTGCAGGGGAGCTACTGTGACGTCATCGCGGCGGACGATGATCAAATCAATCGGCCGCGACGGACGATACGGACGCCCATGATTTGTGAAAAATAACTTCAGCTCCTGTGTGTGTATGTGCACCGATGTGTAAGCGCGTAATCTGTTGTGTGATATGCCGTGTACTCCTCCATTAATTTTGTAGCGTCGTGACTGTGCACTTCATCAGGCTGCTGGTCATTTGCATTATCTTAGCCATTTTTAGTGTTCGACTGAAGTCGCTTTAATGGTGTTTTATTTTTCTTTTTCAAAAAGAAGGATTATCCCCACTCTTTATAACAGGACGTTGCATACCACTACAATTTCTTTGTTCCATCATATATTATAATAACTAGCAAACATGCCCGTGCGTTGGAACGGGAGAGAAAAAATTTACACGCTATCCAAATAAGTTTGAATCAATACCCTAACATACGAGCGTCATCTATTTTAACACAGTGACTCGCCATGTTGCGAACATGTTTTATAATTTGCGAACAATTATAAAATTACTAATATTTTTTTAGACAACAATAAAAATAGGCTAGAGGTGAAATCCATAAAATATCGCGACCAACTCATGGCTCTGGCACATGGATAGCAAACTTTCACACACCCCTGTCCATAGCTAGTTCTTTGGTGATACTCCAATCCTTCAGGTCTCTCTTAACGGACTCCTCCCATGTTAAATTCGGTCTATCCCGACCTCTCTTGACATTAAAATCACTAATATTTTTTAAAACTGCAAAAAATTTATGATTTCCCACACATTTTTGAATTCACAAACATTTTATGATTTCTCAAACATGTTTTTCAAAACTCGCAATGTTTTGAAATTTGAAAATCTCGAATTAATTTAAAGAAGAAAAAAAGAAATGAGAAAAGAAAAGAAAAGACAAAAGACGAAATGAAAAAAATAGGGGAGTCACGCCCTGCGGGCCGGCCCATGAACGCGCACTGGGGGAGGAGAGGTGCATCACAAAAAGAGAGAAAAAATCTGCAGAACCTGGGGATAAAAAATTACGCTCTAGCCAAATAAGTATGACTCAATACCTTGACATATGAGTGTTAAAAAAAAACCTTGACATATGAGCGTCCGCTTTTTTTTGCGTCCTCTATTTTGACACAGTGACTCGCCATGTTGCCACTTATCTTTCTTCCCACCCTCGCTGATGATGGATGCGGTGTCCATGTGATCGCAATATAGTCGACTTGGTAAATCCCAAGGCAATGAGCTTGCCACTGCACGACACACTTTAAAAACAAATCTCATCGACCACAAACTTGCATTTTTTTTGAGTTTTCTCAATATTTTCTAAAATCTCATGGACATTTTTTTCAGATTCACGAATTTGTTTTGAATACACAATTATTTTTTCAAAAATCATATACATGATTTTATTTCCCGACATTTTTTTTCCAAATTGTGCTTTTTTTAATAATTTGCGAACACTTTTGAAAAATCAATTATATTTTTGAAACTGCAAAAATTTTATGATTTCCCACACATTTTTGAAATCACAAACATTTTATGTTTCTCTAATATGTTTTTAAAAATTCACAATCTTTTGAATTTTGGAAATCTCAAATTAATTTAAAGAAGGAAAAAACAAAAAAAGAAATGAGAAATAAAAGCAGAAGACGAAATGCAAAAAAAAAGAAAAAAAAAGCGCCAGGCCCTGCGGGCCGGCCCACTTAATGCGCACTGGGTGGGTAGGGGAGGTGTCTGACAAAAAAAATTGGGGAAATATGCAGCACCTGGGGATCGAACCCTGGTGTCCAAGGCAGAATAGAGAGGCTTTAGCCACAGCACCTTCTCCATGCCTCTCATATATATATTTAGCATCATCATTTTAAATAACTGAGCGCGGCGGCGAATTTGGTGAAACGAATCGTTTTTTAACTTACAGGTGGCATTGGTGCGTAAATTTTGTCAACTTATGGGGTAAATTAAATGACGTACCACCAGAAGCAATAGGTGCTTTATTAGTAGGTAAAGATAAAGATGTAAAAATCTAGCAACTGAACAAACATTGACCTGAAAAAAAGTGAAAAGAAAACTTGAGGCCGCATGCCTCGCGACAGTAGCTCCATCAGACAGCCACTAACCCTATGTTACAAGATGCCATCAAAAATGAAAATACACAACTCTTAGATTACAGCTTCAAGAAGAATTCTCGAGGGGGTGGTCGTTCTTCATGAGACCTTGGACGAAATTCACTCGAAGAAACTCGATGGGGTGGTCTTCAAAGTGGATTTTGAAAAGGCATGCGATAAAGTGAAATGACCATTCTTACAGCAGGCCTTACGTATGAAAGGACGATGAGGCTTGGAGGAAGCAGGTCGAATCATTTGTACAAGGAGGCAGTGTTGGCATCAAAGTAAATGACGATATTGGTCAGTACTTCCAGACGCTAAAAGGATTGAGACAGGGAGATCCGATGTCTCCAATCCTTTTTAATGTGGTTGTTGATATGTTGGTTGTTCTTGTTAATAGAGCAAAATAGGACGGCCAAGTAGGTGGTCTTATCCCACATCTGGTTGAGGGTGGGGTGTCCATTCTTCAATATGCCGATGATACAATCATTTTCATGGAACATGACCTTGTCAAGGCCAGAAATATGAAGTTAGTGATTTGCCTTTTCGAACAGCTATCAGGGTTGGAGATTAATTTTAATAAAAGTGAGCTGTTTTGCTTTGGACGCGCCAAAGAAGAACAAGAAACTTACAAGCAGTTGTTCGGGTGTGAATTAGGCACGTTACCCTTCACGTATTTAGGGATTCCGATTCATCACCGTAAACTCACTAATAAAGAGTGGAAATATATCGAGGATCGGTTTGAAAAGAGACTGAGTTGCTGGAAGGGCAAACTTCTGTCTTATGGAGGACGATTGGTGCTTATTAATTCTGTTCTCACAAGTATGCCCATGTTCCTCCTTTCTTTCTTTGAAGTCCCGGTTGGGGTACGGAGAAGATTGGATTTTTATCGATCTAGATTCTTTTGGCAAATTGATGAGAACAAAAATAAATATAGATTGGCAAAATGGGATGTAATTTGCAGACCTAAGGATCAGGGAAGCTTGGGAATTGAAAATTTGGAGGTGAAAAATAGGTGTTTACTCAGCAAATGGTTGTACCGTTTATCGATAGAAACTGATGGAGTTTGGGATCAGCTTCTGCGTAACAAATATCTCTATGCCAAAACTCTAGCTCAGGTTACGGCCAAGCCGTCTGACTCACCATTCTGGAAAGGGGTTATAAAGACAAAGGTAGCCTTCTTCAGCGGGACTAAGTTTATTGTCGGGAATGGAAGTGAGACTAGATTTTGGGAAGATACTTGGTTAGGTGACTCACCACTAGCCTTGCAGTATCCGTCCCTTTACAACATAGCACAACGGAAAGAGGTCTCCGTTGCTACAGTGCTGGGCTCCGTTCCTCTTAATATACAATTTAGGTGATCTGTTATTGGTGAGCGTTGGGATAGATGGTTACATCTTGTACGTAGGTTAATGGAGGTTAACCTTTCCGATGTACCAGACACTCTGCAATGGAAGCTTTCCAGGTCAGGAGTCTTCTCGGTTAAATCCATGTACACGGACTTGATTAATACTGGGACTATCCCGCGGACGGTGCATATTTGGAAAGTTAAGGTGCCCTTGAAGATAAAAGTTTTTATGTGGTTTCTGCATAAGGGTGTTATTCTCACTAAAGATAATTTAGCTAAGCGTAACTGAGAAGGAAGTAAAAGATGTTGCTTTTGTGATAAGGATGAAACAATAGAGCATTTATTTATCAATTGTCCGCTTGCTAAACTACTTTGGCGAACTATTCACGTTAGCTTCAATATAGCCCCACCTCTCACGGTATCACACTTGTTTGATAACTGGTTGGCTGGAGTTGAGCCAAAGTATGCGGCGCATATCCGAGTGGGAGCATGTGCATTACTTTGGTCTTTGTGGACCTGTCGCAATGGCGTTGCCTTTAACAGACAAACCATCACTAATTTTTTGCAGGTCATCTTCAGAGCGTCTACTTGGATACGTACGTGGTCATTACTCAGCCGTGCGGACCTCATAGAGCATATGGATATTGGGTGCAGCCGATGGGAGATGGTTGCACGGGATACTTACATCCGGTTTGGATGGCAATCCACTAATAGGATAGGCGTTTAGTCTCCTAGTCTTTGGGCGCCGGTTGTGATTTTATTTTTTGGGCCTCTTGTGGCATTTCTTTGGTTACTAAGACCTCTGTTTATTTTTGAGATTTCTTGTTGGAAACTTCGGGCAACTTTTTTAATAAATGGCTGTGTGCATCAAGAGATGCAGAAGCCGGGGGTAAGTCTCCTTTCCGAAAAAAGAAAAAAAAAAGAAAAAAAAGCTTCAAGAAGAATTCGCCGCATGTGCGCCCATGATGGCAAGTCCAGCACACAGGCTGAACTCCTGATTCTCATCCCTGAAGCCAAGTTTCAATCCAGAACTTTCAGCAAGGTCACACGTAGGCGCGCGTCGACATAGCCTGATCAGAGATCTTGTGTTTTCACTGGAGTGCATAAACTCGTCGTTCAAGCCATCATCCCTTATCTGGCTACCGACAGCTCGATAACCGGATACCTCTGGAGAGGACACCAGAAGACAAAGACGTCCCATACCCAGCAACTGGCTAAACATGACACCTCCGCTAGAGCCACCGTGCAACACCAGTCGGTAGCAGACATGACTTGACGTCTCCGCATAAGACGTCGTGCGTAGCATCCGCCGGTGGCTTCACCTGCCGGCGACAGGCATTACTCGATCCTTCCGAAAGAGGTGCATGTGTCACCTGCCAAACCACATCAAACCCGATCTATTGATGGAGGGGACGTCTCATACCGCCACCAGCCTTAGAAAGACCGTCACCACCTCAAGATCCAGTCTCCGAGACGCCCACACGTCCATCGAGTCCTACCCGTCCAAGAAGAGGGGTTGCCGCCCTGATTCCAGGCTCTATAGGTAGAACCCACCGCCATGCCAGCCGTTTTCATCTCCCATACAACGGCAGCCGCCCCCGTGACCGTCAGATCGGGCACAAGGGCCCGAATC